TCCAGGTCTCTGGTATGCTGCTAAGAACCCTGACTGCCAGACCATCCACCAGTAGAAAGCTGGTCATACCCTGATCATAATGGCTCCCCCCGAAGCTGCAAACAGTTCTTAAATCCAGACCTGTCCAGGAAGAAGGGGTTTTAGACAAGCACTTCCAACTTGACAGAGAGCAAATCAAACAGCAAAAAAGGAACTTCTGGCACAGTGCAAGAGAGAGTAAAACAGATGAGAATACCCTCAGCAATGAGAAAATAATATTCATCAGCAAATGGGATGCCATTAAAAAAAGAATTGAGAGGGGCGCCTGGGTGGCTCAGTCGGTTGAGTGTCCGATTCTTGATTTCAGCTCAGGTCATGATCTCAGAGTCATGATATCGAGCCCTACGTTGGGCTCGGAGCTGGGTGTGGAGTCTGCTTGATATTTTCTTTCTCTCTCTCTCTTTCCCTCTTCCTCTCCCTCTCCCCCACCCCCCTGTTCAAGCTCTCTCCCTCTCAGAAAAAAAGAACTGAGAACAAGAAAGAGCTGGAGATGTAGCCAATATAAAAAATTCAGTTAAAAAGTTGGATTATGGAAGACATGTATTCACTTGTTTTACTGTCTGCTTCCCTGGCTAGAAGGTAAAACACCATAAGTCACTGTTTATATAGTGCCCAACACACAGAGCAGTGCCTGGCACAGAGTAGGGGCTCAGTACATATTTGTTGACTGTATAAATGAATGCCTCCAAAAAAAAGTAGAGCAAAAAAGAGATGAAGAGTAGTAAAGAAAAATTATAAAATAATGAAAAAGGTCTGGAATGTCTATTAGGAATTTCAGACAAAGAGAACAATAACAACAAAACAGAAGGGGAAGAAATTGCTAAAAAAAATAAGAAAATCCCCCGAACTGAATAAGAGTCTCTAGAAATTCAGAGTCCACTCAGTGATCAGCCAAATGAATAAAAAAGAGCCACACAGAGGTGCCTGGGTGGCTCAGTTGGTTCAGTGTCTGACTCTTGGTTTTGGCTCAGGTCCTGATCTGATGGGTCACGGGATCCAGCCCTGTGTCAGGCTCCAAGCTCAGCAGGTGTCTGCTTGGATATTCTTTCCTTCTGCCCCTTCCCCCACTTGCGTTTTCTCTCTCTAAAATGGGTAAATAAATCTCTAAAAAAAAAAAAAAAAAGAGCCACACGAGGTGCATCACTGAGATTTCAGACCACTAAAGAGAGGGTCCCAAGACTCCAGGGAGGAAAAAAATAGGTCACAGTCAAAGGATTGGGACTTCTCACCTACAATATTGGGATTGCTAGAATACGGTGGATCTGTGCTTTCAAAATTCTGAGGGAAAAAAATGTTATCATTTATCTATACCCAGGCCAATTAGTAATCAAGTGTGAGAATAGAATAAAAACATTTTCAGGTATGAAAAAGTCTCCAAAAAATTATACACTTCTTCACAAAATTATGGAAACATGGAACCAAGAAAACAGGGGATCCAACATAAGATGTAAAAGGAGATGACAAACGTGTATGTGAAGCAGAACTAAGGAGCAATCAGTCCAGATTGTAGCAGGACAGAGAGCTCCAAGATTAAAAAAAAAAAAGAGCCATTAAAGTACTGGAAAAGTTTGTGTAGAAATTATACTGAAGGGTGTGGAATGAAGTGGAAATAAGCCTAAAGGAGACTAAGCAAATGTAAAAAAAAGGATGAAGTTAACTCCAGGAAGAAAAGTTATACAAGAAACTTAATTACGGCTTATTCCTTGGTTTAGCAACAAACTATATTTAACAAACCCCATATAGGATTGATAAATCAAAGATATTAGTAAAAACTCATGCCAGAAAAAATAGCTAGTAGTTGAAAGTGGTTACTTTTATTTTTTAGTTTTTGGTTGTCAAATGAACCTTTATTGAAATATTTTCCTTTGTAAACACTACAACAAAAACTAATGATGTAATGTATGGTGATTAACATAACAATAAAAAATTATTTAAAAAAAGAAAAGAAATACATGTCTTTGGGAGTGGCACATGACCAGGTACATAGGGCTAAGTCTTTGTTTTCCCTAACCTCCTTAGATAGGCCCTAGAAGTTCCTCTGTTTTTGTTTTGTTTATTTTTTGTTGTGAACTACCCAACGGTCTAAAGAGGGAGTCTTAATTAAGGTTAGAGTTTTGGAATCAGCTTGGCTACTTACATATTCTACAACTTGGGACAAAGTTTTAATCTTGCTATGTCTCAAGTTTCTCTAAGTGCAAAATGTGGGGGAGAATAATAATACCTAACTCATGGGGTTGTTATAAAAATTAAAATAGATTGCAAAATAAAAAATAAATAAATAAAAATAAATAAATATTTTCCTTTGTAGTTCTTAACTAGCTGGGCATTCCACTGCACCACTGTTGATGTCGCCTATGATGTCATGAGGGTGGCGGCCGGCCATCCACACTGCAGCCCACAGACTGGGCAGTCCCCAAAATCTCTTTAATGTTCCAGAGAACTCTCTGCCTAAAGATCGGTGTCGCATCTGTCGCGCATTGTTGACAATCTCATCAAAAGTGATGTTTCCACCGTGCTTAATGTTTTTCTGCTTCTGTCTGTCGGCGGTTCCTTAAGGGCCTTGATAATCAGGGCAGAGGCAGAAGGTACCACTTCAGTCAGGGCCTGTCTGTTCTGAATGGTCAGTTTCACTGTAATCCTCAGACCCTTCCAATCACTGGCTTGGAGTCATCACCAATCTTTTTTGGAGACAGACCCAGGGGGCCTATCCTGGGGGCCAGGGCAGACGTGGCACCGACTTCCCCACCCTTGCACCTCAGGTACATGACTTTGATCTCATTGGGGGTCGAACTTAGGTGGCGTGGTGGAGGCGGCCGGTGTTGGGTGAACCCGGGTTCGGGATGACAGAACACAGCTGCACCCTGGCCTCCTCCAAGCCGAAAACCAAAAGTGTTACTTAAAAAAAAAATAGAATAGGGGTTAGAGAGGCAAAGCAGGCAACTTATTTATTTTTTTTAGCATTTTTGGTTTTTAAGAATTACAAGCATCTGTTGCTTTGATAAAAATTAATTTCAAAGAAGTCATGCCGGCTAATACTGTGGAAACCAGTTGGAGGGGAGGACAATGAAGATGAGATGGTTAGGAATCGCAGCTGCACAGAAAAGAGGCAGCGGAGGAGGGTTTCAAAGGTACAAAGGACAGGGCGTGGTGTTGGAAAAGCGAGCGGGGAAGGAAACCTACGACGGTGGGTTTCTGATTCGAACAACGGAGTGTTCTCTGAGAGAGGGAGGGGAGAGCGGGCTGTGGGTGAAGGCGGCGACTTCCGCTGTGGGATTGGACGTAGCTAGGGGACATCCAAGTGGCAATGCTAGGTGGATATGGATCTCGAGTTCAGAGGAATTTGGTCGGGGCTGGTGTGAGAGGGATGTGAGGGTAGATCTAGCTAACACACCCAGACAAGTCCCAGGGAAATCTAAGCCAATGTCCCCTTGGGCCGCACTAGTTTATGGATCCTGGGTAAACTGACTGCCAGCGGAAGGAAGGTAGAAGCATTCATCCTGCGTGTCATCTATTGGTAGCTCTCACCTGCCAAATGCCCCAAGTCCTCATTCTTATGTTTCTCTGCTTTGGGAATGTCTCCCGTAAGGTTTATACTGCTGTTCCTGTCTCTCTGTGCTTCGGATTCACTCCCTTCTCTCAACTTCCCTGCCCACCATACGCTGCTTCTTGCTCATCTGTTTGATGCCAATCACGGTGGTCCACTAGGGCACCTACCCTACCGGCACTGCCCCTTTCTTGACCTCTGGTATCCCTTGGAAAGGGGCTCTCTCCTGCTGGCATCTGAAGCTGTTACCTGCTATCCTGGAATCTTTCCTCACTTAGGTTGACTGCACCAAAACACTGGTAGAACGGACATCAAGGAGAAATCAAGGCAATGGTTTGAAGGTACCAGATAGTTCTGTAGCAGGAAACTAGAAACGATGGATTCCTGTCCTACCAGTCATCCCTAATCCTCATAGGGTCCCAAATAGCTACAAACAAGAAACATTACTCAAATGAGAAACGAATGCCACTTTTTTTTTTGTGAGTGGGGGAGGAGCAGGGGGGAGAATCCCAAGCGGGCTCCACGCCTAGCACACAGAAGGGGCTTGATCTCAAGACATCATGACCTGAGCAGAAATCAAAGTCAGATGCTCAACCAACTGAGCCACGCAGGTACCCCACGAATGCCTTTAATAACTCGGGCGTACTCAGTAATCCACAGGGCAGGGCTCTGATACAAAGTGACTGAGTCTCACAAGAGTGGAAGCCAAACACTGGGCTGGGAAGAGGCTGATCAGACTTGGTCACTGTGGTTGAGAAGCGAGGCCTCCTAGGCTACAGAAAGTGGGGTTGGGGGAAGTGTAGTGAGAGAGGCAACAAGGCAGACAAGAGCCCAAGCAGGCTCAGTGAGCAGCTGGCTGCCTCCGTGAGCCAGGTGCCAGGCTCTCCTAAGACCTCAACATACTCGGCTTTAATTCTGAGCTGTCCATACACATTTTTGATAAACACCCCTTTCTGATTTAAGCTCACTTGTGCGGGTTTGTTACTTGCAACCATAAGAGACGGTGAAGACCAGTGCAGCACTCTAGGGCACGACCCACGTCGTCCTGACTTTGTATCCCCCATGTCTAGAATACTGGTAGCACAGCTGGGGTTTAATCCACGCCTGCTGAAGGAATGATGGGTACCGGTACAGGTCCTATTAAAAAGGTCAAGTCTATTTAATTCAGGAGTTATAAAATCTAATTTATAACATACCAAGTACCCAACAGTACCCAAACGGCTGCTATAAATCCCAGGCTGAATGTGGGAGATCAGCTGAATGAAACCTTCAAGGAACTGCTAAAGCCCTGTCTGCCGGCAACACGAGAGAAATATAAAGTCACATGAAACATTCTCAGAAAACTGAGCTTACAGAAGCTCAATGTGAAATTTCACTTCAACCTTTCACTCATGTAAGTATTGAGGGATACCTCTGAAATACACAAGTTGACTTTTCCTCAAGGAAATATTTATTGCATACTACGAGTGATCATATTTTACAGCAAAATTAAATTAAATGGATACACTTTTCATAAACATAAATTGGAAATCAAGGCATCCCTGAAATGTATATGCTGAACCAAAGTCCCAGTTTTCAGCATGCAGCATCTAATCATGGTTCCCGTCCAGGGCCACCAGTCCATGATTTCAAAAAGTTGAGGATCTTGTCAGTGACTGGAACCAAATCTTCTTTATATGTGACAATTGTTTCCAAGTAAAATCCTTTCGGGGGCTCAAGCATTTCATTTCTTGAGACATCCTTTTGCTCTACTTCATCACCTTTAGAAAAAAATGGAACACCTGAATTAACTTTTAATTTTTTTTAAGATTTTATTTATTTGACAGAGAGAGACACAGCGAAAGAGGGAACACAACAGGGGGAGTGGGAAAGGCAGAAGTGGGCTTCCCGCTGAGCAGGGAGCCCCCCACGTGAGTCGATCCCAGGACCCTGAGAGCATGACCTGAGCTGAAGGCAGACGCTTAACGACTGAGCCACTCGGGCGCCCCTTAACTTTTAATTTAAGACAGCAGTCCTTAAAATTATTAGTCAAGTCTTGGAAATAAAATAAATTAAGGTAGGAATCACCCCCACCCCCGTCAGATTCCTGACACTATTTTCTTTCTGCGAAAAATAAAAATAAGTATGACATGACCATTACAGACCCGTGTACTTTCAGGCCGCTGACAAGCTTTATCACCAAATGTAATCTTCAGCACGGTTTTTACAGAACAGCTTTCCTGAGATAAAACACTTAACAGATCATACAATCAACTCGTTTGAAATGTACCACCGAATGGCTTTTAGTATATTTAGATCTGTGCAACCTCAGTTTTCGGATATTTTCCGCCTTTAGCAAGTCCCGCCCCATCAACTCCACCCCTTCAGCCTCAGGCAACTAGAATCGGACAGGTGTCTACGGATTTCCAGCACATTTCTGAAGGCTCAGGGATTTCCTTTTCCGCCCAGGAATTGGGAAGATTTTAATACCGCTCGGCTGGCGGAAGTGCTGAAACTGTTCGCCAAGTGCGACGGAGGCTCATGTAACCGAGGCATCACCTCTTTAAATAAATCACCGTCCGGGGTCTCTGACATTCCCTCTGGAATCTTACACAGATTCTTCAAATACACAAGAAGTAGGTGGGAAGATTGAAAAGGTAGTTCCAGGCAGATTCCATTACAGCGAATTGCTCTCAACAATGGTTTTGCAGAATAAACCCGGTATTTGCGGCACAGCGAAGCCGCTTCTATGACCCCGTCAGGACGCCCCACCGAAGGCTGCGGGAGGGTCGTACCTGGTGGCTTGCGTTTTTTCCGGCCTAAATAAAACATGGAGCCCAGCGTGGTCCAAGCGCCCACCGCGTAGACCCCGGACATCCGCCGGTACCAAGACTTGGCCCGGTCCGTGCGCATTGTGCGGCTCCGGGAAGGCTTCGACCCTGGGAGGCCCAGGGCGGAGGCGGGCCTTCCGGCCGGCGCGTCACAACAACAGCCACCTCCAATGGAGAGCCGATCCCGGGAGGCCGCTTCCTGCCCTGGCCCCGAGGCATCCTGGGGCGTGTAGTCCCGAAAGTCGCGCCGGGGAATTGGACCCTAAGGTGTGGGGTTTAGGGGGCTTTCGCGCTGCGCCGCTGAGGGACAGCCTCGCATACTACGTGACACCAAATGATAATTTCTCTGAACAAACTTCTCGCATGGAAAATTGTAACACCTGCCTTACACAGGATTCAGATGGTATTTGTAAAGATTACGTCCACTCCTCCTGCAGCTCTCAGATACGCGAGAATGCCTGTCTCCCCCCGCAGCTCTTCCCCATTTTCCTTTCTGGAACCCAGTCCAGGTGAGCCTTGGTCAAAATTACCTGGTCAAAGGTAATCTCTCCACTGGGGTGTGGGTCCTATTCTTTACTGCCTCCCCGGGATTACACTCTAACTCTACCCACATCTCAAAAGCAGAACATCTCCTTTGACTCTGCCCACCTTCAACTTGTCCCTTAACCATACGTTTCTAAATTCAAAGCATAATCTACCCCACTCATAATCTACCCCCCACAGACCAAACAACTTGAGAGCAAAAGTGATGTGTTGGCACAGCGTGGACATTCAGTAAATTGCCATATCCAGTAACTACTTTTCAGCCATAATCAAATTTGATTTCTAAAGCATTTGACACCATTGACCACACCTGCTCCTTTCATGGCTTCAAATACATAATTTTCTTCGGTATCTCTGTGTCCTTCAGGGCTCTTTCCACTTCTCCCACCCTTTAGAAATTGTTTTGCCATACACAAAAAAATGAACTCTAAATGGATCATAGGCTTAAATGTAAAAGCTAAAATTACAAACCTAGAAGAAAACACAGGGGAAAATTTGCCATCTTGGGATGCGTAAGTTTTTTTTTAGACTACAGACAGCATGAACCATAAAACAAATACTGGTAACTGGACTTTTTCAAAATCAAAACTTTTGCTCTTCAAAAGCCACAGTTAAGAAAATGAAACAAGCCACAAAATTAAATATTCAAATACCTATATTTGACCAAGTACTTGTATCCAGAATATAAAAGGACAACTTAAAACTCAATTATAAAAAGACAACCCTACTAAAAATCAGGCAACAAATTTGAACAAGCTCTTAACAAAAGAAGATATACAAATGGACAATAAGCACAGGGACATCATTAGTCATCACAGAAAAGCAAATTAAAACCACAAGACACCATTACACACCTATTAGAATGACTAAAATTTATATTAAGAATACCAAGAGTTATAAGGATTTGGAGCAATCAGACCACTTACTAGTGGGAACATAACCTCTTTGCAATACTGGCAGTTTCTTAAAAAGTTGAACATACACCTACCATATTACTCAGATATTCCATTCCTAGTAATTTATCCAAAACAGATGAAAACATATCCACACAGACATGTAAATGGATGTTCACAGAGCTTTAGTCACAAGAGCCCAAAATGGGAAACAACCCAAATCGCCATCATCTGGTGAAACGATAAACGAAATGTGGTATACCACTCCGCAATAAAAAAGAATTACTGATATATGCAGCTACATAGTGAATCTCAAATGGATTATGCTAAATGAAAGAAGCCAGACACAAATGAAACTAGACAAAATTCTAGGAACAAACCAATCTGGAGTGGGACAAAGCTGACCAGTACTTGCCTCCTGGGACAAAGCTGACCAGTACTTGCCTCCTCCCCTAGGAAACCATTGGGGAGATAGAAATGTTCTGTATGGTGGTGGTGGTTTCATAGGTGTACACATCTGTCAAAACTCATTGAACTGGGGGCCCCTGCATGGCTCAGTCGGTTAAGCGTCTGCCTTGGGCTCAGGTCATGATCCCAGGGTCCTGGGATTGAGTCCTGCATCAGGCTCCCCGCTGTGGGGAGTCTGCTTCTCCCTTTGCCCCTCCTCCCCACTTGTGTGTGCTCTCTCTCTCACACACACACACATAAATAGAATCTTAAAAAAAAAACCAAACTCACTGAACTATATACTTTAAATGGGAGCAGTTCATTGTATGTAAGTTATACCTCAATAAAGTTGTTAAAAACAAAACAAAAAGATCGGTATTCAGTTGCAAGATTGCTTCTCTTATCCTGAGTAACTTTGCTCATATTATTTATTTGTTAATGACTGAAATCTGCTCCAAATGCTCCTGAAAGCAAATACATATTAATTACTCCCAACCTGCTGGGCATTCTGTTATCTCTCACAAGCTCCCTAAACTCAAAAGGTCCAGGATTGAATTTATCAATGCTAGAAAAGAAAGAGCAAAGAACTCCTTCCTTCTTTTTCTATAATTCAGAGAATGATTGACGTATCACCCAAGCCAGAAACCTGATTTCAGACTCTTACCTAACACCCCACCTCTGTTCAGGCCTCACCTGGATTCCAGCTTCCTCGCATCCATCCTGCCACTCTCCTGTTTTTAAAATCCCTAACTGGTCATTTCCCCTGCCTAAGAGGTCAGAGGCTTTCCTTGCCTTCAAGATGGATTTCAGAGTCTTCATTAGGCACACTGGGCTCCATGCTTTCCACCTCAGGATGGCTGCTTTCCATACACTATTCCCCATCTCCATGTTCTCTCTGGAAACAGCCACCAGTACCCAGAGGTAGAACCTGCATGGCAATGTCTTCTATATCATATGCCACCACTGGTGGCATGGTGCCACCTCACCTCAGCACCTAAAGTCATTGTCACTGAAGAGAACACCAGTGCAAGGTGCGTCTATCACATCCTACCTTCTGTTAATTTGAAATGGAAAGGCCCAAGGTGGAACAGTTTCACCCTTAATCTCTATACAGTTTTCTGTGCTCTTCTATATGATGTATCTCAATTAAAAATTTTATCGGGCACCTGGGTGGCTCAGTCAGTTAAGCATCTCTTGATCTCAGTTCAGGTCTTGATCTCAGGGTCATGAATTCAAATCCCGTGTTGGGCTCCATGCTGGGCATGGAGCCTACTTAAAAAAAAAAAAAAAATCTGGGGCACCTGGGTGGCTCAGTCTGTTGAGCGTCTGCCTTCGGTTCAGATTATGATCTCAGGGTCCTGGGATCGAGCCCCATGTTGGGCTCCCTGCTCAGTGGGGAGCCTGCTTCTTCCTCTACCTCTGCTCCTCCCCCCTGCTCTCTCTCTCAAATATTTTTTTAAATCCAAAAAATAAGAAAAATATCCTACAGAAAAGGTACACAGAATAAAAGCCCTTGGCATTTAAAATGTGTTAAACACCTTAAGATAGGAAAGGCCGCCAGAACGCACACCAAAGGCAAAAGGCTGTAATACAAATTCAAAATATAAAGAAGAATCAATCCAGATGGCCCAACATCCAATGAATAGGAGTTTCCAGCTTTGTTTTTCTAGAGGACTCAGTACCTTCTAATAAATTATATAATTTACTTCTAATTTTTTTTTTTTTTTACTGTTGGTCTTCCCTAACTACAACACAAGCTCCACCAGGGCAGAAATTTATTTTATTGGTTACATTCCCAGTGTCTGTAAGATACTCCGTACATAGCAAATTGTCGAATGAATGAAAAAATAGCTCCAAAGTTCTGAGAGAAAGTTGTTTGGGGCCTAGCATTTTATACCCAGCAAAGCTGTCAAGTATGAAGACAGAATAGATTCAGTGAGTTATCTCCCATGTAATTTAAGATAGCAGATGACTTATGGAATAAAAGGAATTGTAGAACCCAGGCCTCCAAACAAAAGAAATTCCTGCAAGACTTGTCATAGCAATCAGCCTGTGATGAAAGGGGAGATCAGGGATTTATAAAGAATGGACTTCAGGGTGCCTGGGTGGCTCAGCTGGTTGGGCGACTGCCTTCAGCTCGGGTCATGATCCTGGAGTCCTGGGATTGAGTCCACATCAGGCTCCCTGCTCAGCAGATAGTCTGCTTCTCCCTCTGACCCTCCATGTTCTCATGCTCTCTCTCTCTCTCAAATGGGTAAATAAAAATCTTTATAAAAAAAATAAAGAATGGACTTCATTCAGTAGAATAAGAAATTCAAATTTCTGAATAAATAGAAAACAAAATCTTCTCCCCCTGCCAAAAAAATTAGAAACTCTAGGGAAAACAACAACAAATACATGAAGTTATGATGCAAAAAAGAAGCAAACCAACCTGTGGAGTGCTAGAATATAAGAACGTTAAGTGACTGATTTTGTCACTGGGAACGTTTTCCTTCAAGTGGTGTAGGGACTGAGACAGCAAACCCTTGGAGAAAAATGTAATACTACCTGACTCGAACACGGACAATGTTTACATTATCACCATTGTGTAAATGATCTTTATTAGTTTTCAACTTTCAGAATGAACTTTGAGACAGAAGACGTAACTGTGCTTATAGGTCAGAATGTAAATTTTACCAAACTTGATAATATAAAAATAAAGGTATAGAAAGGTCCTCATTTTGGAAAATGTGAATCGAGAGACACATTGGCTAACACTGATACATCAACAAATAACTTGAAAGGAAAGGTTAAAACCAGTCACCTCTAAAGAGTAGTTCTAGGCTCAGGGAGTGAACTGTTATTATAAAGCTCTTTAGGATACATTGTTTTGTTTTGTTTCTTAAAACCATGCATATATTACTTTGATTAAAAAACAGTACCTGTTCATTTTACTTGATGCCCAAGATAAATGTACTGTCACTCTGTTACGGCCACCGATGCCCATCAGCCACTCTTTATGGCTACCTGGGCTGTGCTGTTTACATGTGAGTTAGGGACCGTGCACTCCAGACAGCTCTGCCTTGATGATAAAGTTTCACCTATTTCAAGCTTTCCCTCGGTTAACATTAAGACAGAAAATGAGGATTAAGTTCAGGAAATATCTCTCAGGGGAGTCACTACAAACACACACATACACACACAGAGACTTCAGGAAATCAAATTTGTATTAGGACTATTTTAGCCAGTGCTTTCTTTATCCAGATTTATTTCCTTTCTGATCATTATGATTTTCACCTAAATTAGTTGCCAAAATACATTACCTCTGATTTTATATAACTGTAAAGTTAGGATATAAAAAGCATATAAACATCTACAAGTACCAAAACATTTATGACCTTACAACTTCATAATGCAGGAAAAGGGGCACAAATAAGGAATACAAATAAATTATAATCTAAAGAGTTACATACAATGCTTCCTTTGATTATTTATTAAAACCCACAAGTAAAGTGAAAGGAATGTTTTTAAGCCGTTATCAGCAATTGTGAACACAATCCGATGTGTTCTTCAATGTTCTGCTCACATCTTCCAGCTTAACAAGCACTGGAGACAGCCAGCTTCTTCAAATGATCCATGAATACCTGCAGGCTAACATCATCAGTTAGGATGGGTGCTCCTGTTTCCTGAAATTTAATGGTAAAGATTTATTGGCAGGTATCTGAAAAGCTGGTTAGAATTCATGAATTATTAAGGACCCTTCCACCACCCTGGAACATTCACAGTGTTACCCCCTCTGCTAGGTAGGAGGACTCTCGCCACTGCCATCCTCTGCCTAGCTAACTATTCTATCAACTGAAGCATAATTTCCCCACAAAACCCTTCTCCGACCCACTGAGGTCAGGCCATCCCTGCCACTACAGACAGTTCGGGCATATGCCCTTCTGCTTTAATCCTCTCCATAGTTCTGATGACTCGCCCAGAGTCTGGCTGCCCATCAAGCATGAGCTGCTGGAGGCCACACACCCTGTGTCTCACCTTCCCCATCACTCTGCCAGCACCTAATCCAATGTTCTTCATGCCCTGCTTACAACAGAAGCTTGTAGGGTGGCATATTTACTAATGAGTGGATCAGGATCTCCACTGAAAAGATGGATATCTGTACTATCAGAAAATGTTCATGATTTATGTAATGTGAAGGGAAAAGAACTGAATAGAAACCTTGATTTCTAGTAAGATCCCAAATTTGTAAAAAAATAAGTAAAAATATACATAATATACACATTTTATATTACCTACAAAGAAGCTGGAAATACTTAACTCTAGATAGTGGCATTTTAAGTAATGTTAATTTTCTTTCTTAATCTTTTCTGTAACATATTCAAATTTTCCAAAATGATACTGTACTACTATTAGGAAAATATAAGCATAATTAAAATTTTATAAGATGCCTTCCGGGAAGAAGGAGTACCTGTGCTTTTCTCTATTCCTTCCACTAAGCACAACTAGAAACCCTGGGCATTTTATACAAAAGAAACATAAGACTATGAAAGGTGGAGAGAAGAGAGCAGACAAACCAGAGCCCTGAGTCCCAAGGAACAACACAGTGGTGAGTGCCTTGGGTTTCCTTTTTGCCTCATATATCCCAGACCTGGAGCTGAAAAGGTTGGTAAACAATCACTGGACACAGACAAAAACAGAGAGAAAGCCAACTTTCTCTAGCTAAAGGACCAGCGTAGCCTAGCAAGACAACAAACGTTAGATAATAACTCCAGTCAAAGATGACAGAAAAAACTGTGGCCCCACCCACACCAGCAAAGGCTGAGTGAGCACCGTAGACTGCCACCCTCACAAGACAGTAACAAGGGACCCCAACACCCCTACCAGGATGCTCTCAGAGAAGGCTAAGTATGGCACTGGGAACTTCCTCCCCAATGGCCAGGGGAATGTCTCCCTAATTGCCATGGTACCAGTAGAGACCATTTGGGGAGCCTGCACTTCGACCCAGACCTGGCAGTAGTAAGATGTCCTCCGTGCCCCCTGCATTGGGTATCAGAGGTGGCCTAGTGGAGAGTCAGCACTTTCACTACCATCCAACACTAACAAGGCCATCTCCATGGTGGGATTAGTGGAGACTAGGTGGGGAGCTGGAACACCCATCCCCACCCAACAGTAACAGTGAATTGTCCCCCACCCAGATGTCATGTCAAGAGGCCAATGGAAAACCTGGTTTGCTATCTGGCAGTAATGAAACAATGTCTTCCCCAATTCTCTCCCAAAGCAGCATGACTAAAAGCCAGCCAAAACAGCCAATTTCAATAGATCCAGGGTCTCATAACAAGTATGTAAATGTTCACATTTCAATCAAAAATCACTTGTCATACCAACAGCCAAGATCTCAAAGTGAATGAAAAACAGACAGTCAGCAGGTGTTAACACCAAATTGACAACAGTGTTAGAATTATCTCACAAAGACTTCAAGGCAGCTTCAATGAGCAATTACGAACATACTTGAAACAAATGAGAAAACAGAAAGCCTGAAAGAACGTCTCAGGAAAGAAGTAGACATAAAGAAAAACCAAAGTAAAGTTTTAAAACTGAAAAATACAGAAACAAATAAAAAGCTCGGTGTGTGAGTTCATTAAAGAAAAGGAACAGAGGGTTCTAGAGGGGAGGGGGTGGGGGATGGGTTAGCCCGGTGATGGGTATTAAAGAGGGCACATTCTGTGTGGAGCACGGGGTGTTATGCACAATGAATCATGGAACACTACATCCAAAACTAATGATGTAATGTATGGTGATTAACATAACAATAAAAAAATTATAAAAAAAAAAGGAACAGAGACAATAATCAGTGAACTGGAAGATAAAATAATAGAAATTACCCAACTGAAAAATAGAAAACAGGTGGGAAAAAATGAACAGGGTACCAGGGACCTGTGGAACCACAAAAGCCTTGACAGGCATGTCACTGGAGTCCTAGAAAGGAAAAGGAAGATGGGCTGAAAAACTATTCAAAGAATAATGGCTGATAACTACCCAATTTTGGCAAGAGAGATAAATACACAGAATCAAGAGGCCAAGCAAATTCTCAATAGGATATATCCAAAGAAATCCACACCAAACGCAGGGTATTTAGACTTCTGAAAAACTAGTATTTTTTTTTTTAAGGTTTTATTTATTTATTTGAGAGAGAGAATTAGAGACAGAGAGCATGAGAGGGAAGAGGGTCAGAGGGAGAAGCAGACTCCCCACCGAGCAGGGAGCCCGATGCGGGACTCGATCCCGGGACTCCAGGATCATGACCTGAGCCGAAAGCAGCCGCTTAACCAACTGAGCCACCCAGGCGCCCCTGAAAAACTAGTATTAATAAAGAAACAATCTTGAAAGCAGCCAGAGAAAAATGACATCTTACCTATAGGGGAAAAACAATAATGACAATGAATTTCTCATCAGAAACCAGAGAAGCCAAGAGAAGTGGCAAAATATTTTTCAGATGCCTAAAGAAAAGGACTGCCACCAGAATCCTGTATCTAGAGAAAATATCCTGCCTGAATGAAGGGGAAATCAGGATTCTCAAATGAAAGAAAACTAAGAATCTATCATCAGGAGACCTAAAAGAATGGCTAAAGGAAGATCTCTAAACAGAAATGAAATGATAAAGAAAGAACCTCGGAGTATCAAGAAGGCATACAGAACACAATAAGCAAAAATATGGATAAATATAATAGGACTTGCATCTTCTCTTGAGATTTATAAATTATTTTTGATGGTTGAAGAAAAACTGTAACACCGACTAATCATGTAGAAGAAATACTTAACACAATTATAAATGGGGCAAGATAAAGGAATTATAAAGGGGAGTAAGGTTTTTTTAAGGATTTTATTTATTCATTTGAAACAGATAGAGACAGATAGAGAGAGAGGATGAGCAGGGGGAGAGGCAGAGGGAGAAGCAGACTCCCTGCTGAGCTGGGAGCCCGACGTGGGGCTTAATCCCAGGACCCAGAGACCATGATCATAATCCAATTATAAAATGGATAAAGATTTCATTGAAGAAAATATATAGATGGAAAAGAAGTACATGAAAAGATGCTCAGCATCATTAGTCATTAAGAAAGTGTAATTTAAAACCACAATGTTATACCACTACACATCTATTGGAATAACTAAAAATCAAAATAATGACAATACCAAATGTTGGCAGGATGCAGAGAAAATGGATCACTCATACATTGCTAGTGGGGATGCAGAAGGAGGCAGTCCACTCTGGAAAACAATATGGTAGTTTCTTAGACTAACCATGTGACTACCATACCACTGAACAAATGTACTCCTGGGCATTTATCTCGGAGAAAGGAAGACTTCTGTTCATGAGAAACCTATACATGAATATTCATAGCAGCTTTATTCTTAACAGTAAGGAACTGTGAACAACCCAGATGTCCTTCAACAGGTGAAAGATTAAACAACCACAGTACATCGATAACAACCACAATGTATCAATACCACAGAATATTACCTGGCAAGTAAAAAGAAACAAATTATTGATTCATGCAACAACCTGGATGAATCTCTAGACAATCATGCTGAGGGAAAAAAGCCAGTCCCCAAAGGTTACGTACCACGCGATTCCACATACATAATATTCTTGACAAAATCATAGAAGTGAAGAACATGGCAGCAGTTGCCAGGTGTTAAGAGGTGGAGGCTGGAGGGAAGTGAGAGTGACTATACAAGGACAAATGAGAGATCCCTGTGGTGATGGAAACGTGTATCTGGACCTTATCTATGTCAATATCCTGACTGTGATACTGCATTATGGTTGTGCAAGATATTCCCACTGGGTGACACGAGGTGAAGAGCACAGAGAATCTCTCCATATTACTTCTGACAACTGCTTGTAAATTTGCAACTGCCTCAAAACAAAGTTTAATTTTCAAAAATGTTTTAAGAAAAGAGGGAATGGAAAGACTTGAGAGAGACATAAATGTTGGGAATAATTAGATAAAGAAGGAGACAGAGGCTGAAAAGTGAGGAGGAGATAGAGCCAGTGGTGAGCAGGTGTTTTTGCCCCACACCCTTGGGAGAGAGAAGAGTGGGGTTGGGGGGGCAAGGGGGGTCTGGGGAGATGTTGCTGTGTCTACGAAGAGAGCCAAACGCAGGTCACGCTACAGAGTTCTGCCCTCTGGCCCGAATCTGTCATATTAGGCTGTGTACTGCAGAAGGGGATCCACACGAGGTGCCCCCTCCCGTCTCAGCTATGTACTGAAAGGTTTTTCTCCCCCCCAGCAAAATACCTGAGCTATTCTATCTCTAAGGTCAAAACAGATCCATTTGGTAACTAGTTTTTCAAAAAGGAGCCTGGCCTCCTCCCCAGATACCTGACAATTTCTTTCTTTCTTTTTTTTTTTTTTTTAAAGATTTTTGTTTATTTGTCAGAGAGAGAGAGAGCACAAGCAGGGGGAGCAGCAGAGGGAGAGGGAGAAGTAGGCTCCTCACTGAGCAAGGAGCCCAATGTGGGACTCGATCCCAGGACCCTGGGATCATGACCTGAGCCGAAGGCAGACGCTTAACCGACTGAACCACCCAGGCGTCCCCTTGACAATTTCTTACCTGTCCCCAGGCATACAGGTTATTGTGTGTCTGAGATGGGTTCACTTTGGACAAAAGGAATCGAGCCTTTAAAAACACAAGAGATTTAAAGATTGTAAGTGACATTAATATTGGTGTAGTAGGAAAAAAGTTTTTACCACATTTCCTTTTGTTAAATTAGCTTTTTTTTTTTTTTAAAGTTTTTTTTATCTATTTCTGTGTGAGAGGGAGAGAGAGAGTGAGAGTGAGAATGCACAAGCAGGGGGAGTGGCAGGCAGAGGGAGAAGCAGCTCCCCACTGAGCAAGGAGCCAGCTGCAGGACTTGATCCCAGGACCCTGGGATCATGACCTGAGCCGAAGGCAGACGCTTAACCGACTGAGCCACCCAGGCGCCCCTAAATTAGTTTTTTTTTTTTAACACCACAAAGGCACCCATTTCATTAGTGTAAGCCAATGACTCTCCATTTATTAGGGTTCCTGAAGCATGAAGTGTTTTATTTTGGCAATCCTCTACTTTTACATTAATGTATTATTACCACTCATTTAAGAAGTCATATTTGGAAGCTTGCCTGAATGTCAATTTAAGTCACCACATAAAATATTAACCATGCTGTTTGGATATACAGCCATTTACCTCATGAAACCACCAGAACACGAGAGCTGGAATTCAGCTCACTCACCTGGCTGCCTCCGTGCTCCGTGTTAATGTAACGTGGCATGGGGAAGCGCGCTTGCAGAATCTCTTGGGCATCATCCAGTGGTGCTTGCAGGAGGTGCTTGAAGTTTTCATACTCAGGCATGTCCTGGTACCCAGCTTTACGCCACTGGGCTATGGTCTGCACCAAGACAAACCAACAACCAAAACCATTGTGGAAACATGGAAACAATAGTCTTTTCTGACACTCCTGACATTCTAACACTCCCACTACCACCCAGAACTTGTTTCCAGTAAAGAAGTCATGTCAAGAACGACGAGGTGCAGTAGGTAGCAAGGGGAGCTGGGTAGGACAAGTGTGAGTGAGCAAAGAGATGCAGCCAGGACACCCCCACCTACACAGTTCTCCCAGAAACGTCAGAGCCATCAGTCACATCTCTTCCCTTTCTACCTGTACATACCAACCAGCTAAAAACACCCAGGGAACAGCTGTCCCAAGGAGCCACCCGGCCTTTCCATCTCCACTGCCATCACTGGGTCCAGCCGCCCATGTCCTTCCAGCTGGTAGGGAAAGGGATCTATTGGCTTCCTACATGGAATCCATTCCCTCTTTCTCTTCCCTAGGGGCACATCTCTACGCCTAACTCCAGTGCCTAGTGTCACCCAGACTCATCCCCAACTCCCCTGGGCTCTGAGTTAGGATACCCTTGGTGGGGGAGAGAAAAGCTGCAAGGATCAATGCATGGGTGTTGATTAGGCAAGCAGAAGACAATATCCCACAGCACAGAAGGTAAAGCCAAGCTCCCCACCTCAGCTGACACTGTGTCTCCCCCTCTTTTATCCCCATTGGCAACAGCTCTAGAAAATGCCTTGTGCACACAGGAAATCAAGAAATATTCGCTCACTGATTAATATAACTTTATAAATAACCTGACGTGTGTTCACGTGTTATTCAGGGGACACTAAAAAAGGAAACAGCGGAGAGGGGAAAGGGGAGGAAGAGGATGTAACGAGCAATTGATGGGTTTTAAAAACAGAACTGTTAGTCTGATACCAGGAGGAGGATTCTCTTTAGGTGCTTCCTTCTGCAGCCTGCTCTCCCCTTTTCAGAGTTTCCAGTAACAGTTTTCAGGTCTTAATTTCTGACTGACTGGTAGCATAGAGGAAATGCCCATAAGCTTGTTTGGGTCCAAGAGTTCATCCGAACACCCACAACCGGCAGACATGGGGCTTTTGGAGAGTGAGAACCATGTCACTGTCTTTGTCTTTAGAAACCATCACTTGCATGCACACAGACAGTACTCAATAAATGTGTGAAGGAACAGGATGGGGGTTGTGATTAGAAAGTCTTTAAAGCTGAGCTGAAGGCATAGAAACCTACATCATGATTATTGCTCCCATAGGAACCAGGGGGAACAGCAGTTGGTCACCCAACTGGCAAGCACCTAGCAGAGTGCGTTGTTAATATGCTGAAAAAAGTTAAAAATTGTAAAATGCATATTACTATCAGAAAACTAATTTGTCCTAAGTTATTAAGGGAATTCTGAAATACAATGTATACCTTTGCAGAACATTTGAAATCACATCTAACATATAGATAGACTAGGAAGTCAAGTCAATCACTAAAGCAATTTATTGAAGGTAGAGAATGGACAACAGAAGGAAAAGAATTTATCAATGAACATAATGCTCAGTTAAAGGATTTTCTTCAGAGGAGTCATTCCCTTTCTTAGGAAACCCCTCTGAGGGAGAAAGGGACTCCCCCTGAAAGCCATCCACAGTCATCCTAGGGATCCACAGACCAGTGTAAGGGTCAGGGTGCCATGTTATTTCATCAAAGAAAAACTTCAGTCCCAAATTTATTGTTTTTGGTGGGTTGTTTTTTTTTAAAGATTTTATTTATTTATTTGTCAGACAGAGAGTGAGAGAGAAAAAGGAGAGAGAGCACAAACAGGGGGAGCAGGCAGAGGGAGAAGCAGGCTCCCTGCTGAGCAAGGAGCCCAATACGGGACTTGATCCCAGGACCCTGGGATCATGACCTGAGCTGAAGGCAGATGCTTAACTGACTGAGCCACCCAGGCATCCCCAAACTTATTGTTTACTAATAACTCTAATGTAACTCCAAAAGGACAGCAGTGTGTGTCAAGAGTCAACTAAGGGAAAGTACACTTACCTTGTCTTGCAACTCGAAAAGCAGTAAGTTAGAGTGATTTAAAAGGACCACCTGAGATTTACTTACAGCAAATATAATTAAAATTACTGAATATACAAATACCCCAGGGACCTGAAAAAAAGATTTAACCGCTATACTCATTCTAATAAACTGTGGGTCTTCTAAGCCCAAATTATTCCAAATGTCACAAAAGAAAAAGAAAGCCAAAACAATAGTAAGGAAAGAAATTAGTATCTTCTTACCTCACCAAGATAAATGACAATTTGGAAGAAAGTATCCATCAGCAAAATTCTGTCAGCTAGAATGCTGCTGCTGTCCAAGAGTACTGGCTGAAGAAGAAGGGAGAGAAACGGCGTTGGTCTTCCCCCTGTGCCCCCGACGGTGACCGTTCCACCCCCCCAACCTGGGTGGTCTACACAACGGCTACGTACGAATGGCACCCAGCACAATGGCTCTCTCCATCTTTGAGGAAACTCCTGCTTTCTGCTCCCTGACCCGGCAGTTCTAAGTATCAACTCTGTATGAGAAAGAGGCTCCAAATAATCCCTCATCAACTGGGAAGAGAGATTAAAGACATCTTTTGCTCCAGGAACCAGAGATAATTCTAAACATTCTCAGTTTTGTGTTAGAAATGTATTTTATTGGAGACACAGCCTCTCAAATCTATTGCCATAGTTGACTGAAAACAGCGATGCCTGTATGAAAAAGAACCGCTTGTAATAGGAGTTTAAAAAGTTTATTACAAAAATCCATTTAATTATAATTTCTATTTCAATAATAAAAGTAATGTACTCATTAAGGAAAATTTGAAAATTTGTCTCCAAGTCCAACAAATATTCATCATTTATTTTCACATAGTTTTTAATTCTTGTATGCTAAAAAATACACAATTTAGGAAAGTTTCTATTTTGATTTTTTTCATGTAATTTTATTTTTTTTAGTAATATCTATACCCAATGAGGGGCTTGAACTCACAACCCAGAGATCAAGAGTCCCATGCTCGGCCGACTGAGCTAGCCAGGTACTGCCCCCTTTCTAAAATAATTACGTTCGATGCTTGTATCTTTTTTCTTCTTGTTTTTTTTTAATTTTTATTTTTAAGTAATCTCTAAGCCCAATGTGGGGCTCGAACTCATGACCCCAAGATAAAGGGTCGCCTGCTCTACCAACTGAGCCAGCCAGGCACCCCTTCATATAACATTTTAATATTTTATCACATTACATAAACTTTGTAAATATTTCTTAGATTACTTATTTTCCTACTATTAAACACTTGGATTGTTTTCTAATCTCTATTATAACAGTTCATTTTCCTATTTCTTTGAACAAAGCTTTTCCTATATGTCAGAGGATTTCCTTCAGGCACAAGACATGGAATTACTGGGCCAAAGTAACTGGAAAAAAAAAAAGTACCTACGTATTTTTATGGTTTTTTTTTTTAAAGATTTTATTTATTTATTTGAGAGAGAGAGAGAGAATGAGAGATAGACAGCACGAGAGGGAAGAGGGTCAGAGGGAGAAGCAGACTCCCCGCTGAGCAGGGAGCCCGATATGGGACTCGATCCCGGGACTCCAGGATCATGACCTGAGCCGAAGGCAGTTGCTTAACCAACTGAGCCACCCAGGCGCCCCTTATGTTTTTTTAATATATAATCCTGCCTTCCACAGATAATAGCTTTCTTTATATGTCCTGTGACTTTCTCCTATGTGTATTTTTTAATACTCAGAATTAATGTTAAATTACTATAAAGACTCAAAGTTTTCTTTTTTTTACAGCTTTGCTCTAAGAGTAAACTTGCTAGAAAAAAAAAAACAACCTGTATTACGTGATTCCAATTCTGACAAAAGCATTCAGGTAAACCTCACCTCTGGCGGCCCCTGGAATGAATAGGAGTACAGAATGGGCTGGATCATGATGAGGGACTGGGTTAGATCCTGTCGGGCAAAATGGTGTCTGTAATACGATGACTCATCAGGACTGTTGTTAAACACTTGGAGAAATGGAGATCTTCTAAGATGGAACATGAACTGCATTTACAAAGAAAAAAAAAAGAGACAAATACATACCGCTATAACTTTCTTAGACACCCAGACAGTGAGCTTGCCTCAGGTCTCTGAAAGAGAAGCTAGACTTTCAGACAAAGGCCTATGAATTCCTGTAAGCAGAAAGTACAATGGTAGTACCAAGGCCTGGAGGAAGAGGGAAACGGGAATCTGCTGTTTAATAAGTATAGTTTCAGTTTTGCAGGATAAAAAAGTTCTGGAGATCTGCTGCATAACAATGTGAATATACTGAAAACTACTGAACTGCACACTGAAAAATGGTTAAGAAGGTGTTTTTCACCACAATTATAAACATTATTTTTAAGAAAGGGGGAGGGGCCCTGTGGGTGTGTCAAAGCTTCCACAGGTAAGGGGAAAGGCAAAGAAGCGTTTATTTCTGGAGTCACTGGGCCAGGCTGCAGACAGAATGTCTGCTCTAGAGAGGCCACAGTGCCGTAAGGAAAAGGCACACTCTGGGCAGCCACAACTGTTCTGAGCACAATACCAGAAAGTACTAGTAGGATGGGGTGGGGATGGAGGGGCGGCAGGAAGCTTCCCAAGCCACTGGGGTCTGAAAGATGTTCATGAAGAGGCCAGAGGGAGGGGACTCCAGCTGCATGAGAGGCACTCAGGCTGGTGCACTGGCATCAGGGGTGGAGAGAAGAGAGGGATAAGAGAGGAGGCTGGAGAGGTATGTTCTTTACCCTGAGATCAGAAGGGGCATGTCAGACTTTTAGCTCTCTCTAAAGAGGTGTTAATACTTAATAAATAAAAATAGAAATAAAAATAAGACGAGGCACCTGGGTTGCTCAGTTGGTTAAGAGTCCAACTCGTTTCTTTTTTTTTTAAAAAGATTTTAATTTATTTGACAGAGAGAGAGCGCGCATGCAAAGACAGGGGGAGCAGCAGAGGGAGAGGGAGAGGGAGAGGCAGGCTCCCCGCTGAGCAGGAGCCTGTGTGGGGCTCGATCCCAGGACCCTGGGACCATGACCTGAGCTGAAGGCAGATGCTTAACTGACTGAGCCACCCAGGCGCCCCAAGGGTCCAACTCTTGATCTCAGCTTAGGTCTTGATCTCAAGGTCATGAGTTCAAGCCCCACGTTGAGAAAAAGAGGTGCCAGAACATGAAAATGAGCTGCTTTGAGAAGTATAAAGCTTCCTGAGACTCCAAATATTGAACCATTGGTTCCTACATAATAATCATGGCTGATAATCAATACATCCTGTGTGCAAGACGCAAAGCACTTCAAAGAATAATTTAATTCTTCTAATATACCCACGAAGCAGGTTCTCTTACCACCTATAGTTTATGGGTGAGCAAACTGCGGGGTAGGCAACTTGCCCAAGGCCATTCACACTGAGGGGCAGAACCACTTTATTCTAGGCATCTGGCTCCAGAGACTGGGCGCTTGACCTCTAACCTAGATGCCTCGACGAAAGGAATCTTACAAACCACCCCATCCGGTGGTTTTCCAACTGTGCTCTTCGGTCTTAGCAGGTCCGTTGGGCCCAAGATGGGGGACGGTGGAAGGTGCCCTGGCAGCAGCGGTGGTAAGGGTGGGCACAACCAGAGCAGCTGCAAGTCTGTCTGCTTATGTGCTGGCTTCTGGGGGGGGGGGGGTCCTCTCCAAGAAAGGGCTCCACGACCTCAAAGAGACTGCAAACCACTTCTCCAGACCCACTCCTTCCTTGTAAAGAGGACACCAACATCCATGGGGCTTCAGGGCCTCTTCCAGGGTCAGCAGGGGCAGGGCCAGTGCTGGAGCTGCACTCGGACTCTGGCAGTCCCGGGGCACCCTCCACAACACCAGGCAGCCTCGACTGCCTCAGCACAGGCCACAGGCGCGGGCGTCAGGGACCACAGAGCCCTGCCCTGGGCCAGGGGTCAGGTGAAGGGACCTCTAAGGTCCCCTTTCAACCCTGAGAGTTCAAGCTATACAAGGTCATGACTGAAATCTCTATCAACTTTCCAAATTCAGTAATCAAAAGAATAGTTCCTAGTAGGATATCTGAGTGCTCACAAATTTATTTAAAAATGAGTGTGCTGCTCTCTACTTTTTCCTCATTAAGGCATCTCTGAGGGGAGGAAAAAGAGTTGGCTCTGCTTCCGGTTACAGGAAAGCTGCGCCCATGAAGGGACCACCTGAGAGTCGTGGGCCCAGCTGTAGAGCAGACCCACACTGACCAAGTGCCTCACAGGCACCTGGGCCTGCGGGCAACACTCTCTGCTTCGGCTTGCCATCCTCACAACCACCCACCGAGGCCGGCTCTAGCTTCCTCATTTACAGATGAGGACGGACGTCAGGAGAGGTAAATACACAGATTCCTGACGGCGGTTTCATGCCGTGTCCACTCCTCTCCCCGCTTTCACTGTCCGATGGCTCCCAAATGCCTGGTTCGTGCACAATGCGGTCATTTACAGGAGCTGCTTACTGCTGATTCCCAGGTACGATCAGCACCGTCCCTACACATGTATCATTAAATATCTGTCATGATCTGTGGCCTCATTTTGTTATATTCACCTTCATGGGTGCTTCATTTTCTTGAGCGGCTGCTGAGGTAGGTAGCTGCTTACCCAGAACCTCTACAGATGAAGAGATTCTGCTGTGGTCTTCAGCAACAACCCTGTTTTGCTGGGGTTGTTGGGGAGCCACTCTCTTCTCCTCCCTGCATGTCATCTCTGTCTTCTGTAGGGCTGAGGCACTGTCTCGCACACAGACACAGTATCTGTCCTGAACTGAACAAACTTCATCACCTAGAGATGGAGCCTCAAAACCCACCAAGTCCTCACTTTAGCCTGAGAGCTGAGAGATTTATTTCTATAACAATTTATTTTTCTTTAGTTATTTAAAAAATAGAGTGCTCGCTTCGGTAGCACATATACTAAAAAAAATACATGTTACTTACCTGAGGATACAGAGAGAAGGAATCTGATAACCTAAAAGACGTGGGGTCTTCTTTGTTATACTGTCCAAACTTCTGACACTGTTGAAAGAAAAGCAAAAAAGAAAAAAAAAGTCAAGTCAGTGTCACCTGGAAAACACCTTGCAGTAGGAGAGCTACATTCCAGTCTCAACTCTGAGTGATTGAGGGTCCCAGACCAACGCTTCTCCAACATAGCCAGGCAGACCCATCACCCAGGGCGCTGCTAAACACAGATTCTGATTCCGCAGATCTGGAGAGATCCTGCATTTCTACCCAGCTCCCAGGAGATGCTGCCGGAGGACTGCTCTGACCAGTCAGTGGCTCAAGGAGCTGTCTTAGGCGCCTCTTCCATAGGAGTGTTCCATAGGAAAAGCTCCTAAGTCTACAATACTACAGCTCAATCTTCTTCCTTTTTTCAAAGACAAGTTTCCGAACAACATTTTCTCTTCTGCTTTTATTTCCTCTTTGTTTCACACATCTCCTCTGGCCACTAGAGAACTGGACCCTCCGCCACTGAAAGAAAGCCCGTCTCTGACAGTTGCCCTCTCTTACCAAGTCCGATGACCTGGTACGGCTCTCACCTTCCTGGACTCCCCAGCACCACAGGTCAAGTGGCTCCCTCAAAGTCTGTGAAATTCTCCTCCAGCCACTAACATAGCACCTTCCTATTTCCCCTCTCCAACGGATCCTTCTCTGTCTTGCGATGCCCTTCATCTCCCTACGCCCTAACAGTGGGCTCCTCGGAGGCTAGGTCTTGGCCCCCTGCTCCCATCCTCACTGCTTCAGCTACAAGTAACAGGAAAGCCAGACTGATGTCAACCATATCCACCCCCTCACCCTGCCCCTGTCCAGTGCTGCCTCTAACCTGAGCTCCTGTAGGGACTTCCACCCAACTACAGGATAGCTTCCCTCGGACGTACTTTCACAAGTTCATGAGTAAAGTAAGTTGAACTATTTATCACATTAAAAAAAAATTACACCTCTCTCCACCCTTTCCCATCTTCCAGCTCTTTTACCTCTCCAACATCCTTGCAGGCACCCACACTCAAAACTTAAGTCAATGTTAATTTTTTGGTTTTTGATTCCACCTAGTTTGAATAAGCTTTATCAACTCTTCTTTCAGCATCCATCCTGATTCCAAACTTTCCCTCCCCTTCGACTGTCCTACCACCACCCTGGTCTCAGCTCTCGAGCCTCCAGAATCCTTCACTGGTCTCCCTATCAGTGGCCTTTCACCCTCCAGTCTATCTCATTTGGTAATGGTAAATGTAAACACAAGCATCACGCTGATGGCATGCCCCTGCGTAAGAATCACACCTAAGCAGTGACTTAACTTTAAAATCAAGGCATTCCAAACAATTGCACTACTGGGTATTTACCCCAAAGCTACCCCGCAGTTTGCTCACCCATAAACTATAGGTGGTAAGAGAACCTGCTTCGTGGGTATATTAGAAGAATTAAATTATTCTTTGAAGTGCTTTGCGTCTTGCACACAGGATGTATTGATTATCAGCCATGATTATTATGTAGGAACCAATGGTTCAATATTTGGAGTCTCAGGAAGCTTTATACTTCTCAAAGCAGCTCATTTTCATGTTCTGGCACCTCTTTTTCTCAACGTGGGGCTTGAACTCATGACCTTGAGATCAAGACCTAAGCTGAGATCAAGAGTTGGACCCTTGGGGCGCCTGGGTGGCTCAGTCAGTTAAGCATCTGCCTTCAGCTCAGGTCATGGTCCCAGGGTCCTGGGATCGAGCCCCACACAGGCTCCTGCTCAGCGGGGAGCCTGCCTCTCCCTCTCCATCTCCCTCTGCTGCTCCCCCTGTCTTTGCATGCGCGCTCTCTCTCTGTCAAATAAATAAAATCTTTTTAAAAAAAAAAAA